AAATCAATTTAATTCACTCCAGTTAAAAATAATACACGACGTAATTCACTCCAGTTAAAAATAATACACGACGTAATTCACTCCGGTTAAAAATAATACACGACATAATTCAGTTGAGTTAAAGTAATACACGACGTAATTCACTCCAGTTAAAAATAATACACGACATAATTCAGTTGAGTTAAAGTAATACACGACGTAATTCACTCCAGTTAAAAATAATACACGACATAATTCACTCCGGTTAAAATAGTCCACGACATAATTCACTTAAGTTAAAATAGTGCACGACATAATGCACTCCAGTTAAAATAATACATTACATAATTCAGTTGAGTTAAAGTAATACACGACATAATTCACTCCAGTTAAAATAGCACACGACATAATTCACTCCAGTTAAAATAGTACAGGACATAGGATATAAGTTGATCTAGTTAAGATACAGTTAAAACACAGGATATTATTGATCCAGTTAAAACACAGGATATAAGTTGATCCAGTTAAAACACAGGATATAATTTGATCCAGTTAAAACACAGGATATAATTTGATCCAGTTAAAACACAGGATATAATTGATCCAGTTAAAACACAGGATATTATTGATCCAGTTAAAACACAGGGTATAATTTGATCCAGTTAAAACACAGGATATAATTGATCCAGTAAAACACAGGATATTATTGATCCAGTTAAAACACAGGATATAATTTGATCCAGTTAAAACACAGGATATAATTTGATCCAGTTATGTAATACACAGAATATAATGTAATTACACCATTTTGATACTTCCTATTTCAACTTGAAACTTACAGGTTGGTCACTGTACTTCCGCTAGTCGTAACAAGTAGACTTCAAAATGTTTAAATATACGAGAAACAATAACGACAGGGCAACAGAAATGTCTGTAATTTGTCTTGTTTACTTCTCTGAATTAAAAGCTTTTCGAACATTTCCTTGTATTAAAACATGGAGAATCGTTTAGGTTGTTAAGAAAGGTGAGACTTAAAATACATTTAATCAGGACTGTCCGAAACAATAAATGAAATAGTTAATCTTTAAAACTTAACTTCAGAAATGTAACATATTTAAACGCAGCAAAATGTTTCAACCTGTAGGCTACCAAGGATTTTTCAGAATCGTGAAACCTGTCAATTTTAATCAGAAACGCGCTTTCTTCAGTTGTATAATTTCATAGGAACTGAAAGTGGGCGGGGCTCCATCTTGTCTACACACGAAAGGTAATACAATGTATATAGCCTGTAAAAATGGCATGTCCTGATATTGCACCATAAAAGTACTGTAAAAATCAATGACGTGGGGACACAGAATTTATTAAGATTTAAAAAAAATTGCCCACATTGTGACTCCCCCTAACATGAATGTGTTAA